ATATAATATATATATATATATATATAAAATATATATATATATATCGGCTGTATATCGGCACTGGTGGGAGGCGTGCATTGACACGAGGCCGCAGGTCGAGTGCCTTAGTGGCCCCACCAGTGCCGATATACAACCATATCGCACTGCTACTCGTGTGATATTGCGTTTATACAACAGTTTGACCGCATAATTGTGTATATAAAAACAAAATCAAACATGGAGAGTCTCAAAAACCCTTTTGTATGAGGATCTACTTTCTTCCACATTGGATTCAAATCATAAGCTGACAGTTAAACAGCTGAGCAAGCATCTTTTAAACTTTAGATCTGTAGTGTCTGCTTTTTGCTGGCTGTATGTGGGCGGAGTAATACACATAGGGTAAAGAGGCTGTACGGGTTCTTATATTACTTAAATATATCACGGCTATCAGCCAATCAGATTCGAGAACCAGAAAGAACTGTTATATATATATATATATATACTGGGAATTTCACAAGAAAAAACAATGGTATGCTTGGTTTTAATGTATCCTTATTTTTTCATCAGTTATTTACAAGCCCTCTTACATACACTAATGTTCCACAAACAAGACGTTAATATCACCAACCATTCCCATTTTATTAACGTGTATCCATTTAAATGGCCCTCCCTGTATTTAAATATCTCATTCATTCATATGTCTTCAGCTTAGTCCCTTTTCATCGGGGGTCACCGTTGCAAAATGAACTGCCAACTTTTTCAGCATTTGTTTTACAAAGTGGATGCCCTTCCAGCTGCAACCCAATACTGGGAAAAGCCCATAAACACATAAACACTCACATTCACACGCATACACTATGCCCAGTTTAGCTTACCCAATTCACCTATACCGCATGTCTGTGGACTGCGGGCATGGGGAGAACATGCAAACTCCACACAGAAATGCTAACCACTGAGCCACTGCAAACAAAGGCTATAGCAAGTTATATAATATGAATAAGTGCAACATTTTTAAAGTATTTTAGACAGAGCTGTGGAGGATCATATGATCAATGTTTTTAACAAAGACATAAAATGACTGACTGACCAACCGACTGTTATAATAGACTGATTGATAGATAGATAGATAGATAGATAGATAGATAGATAGATAGATAGATAGATAGATAGATAGATAGATAGATAGATAGATAGATAGATAGATAGATAGATTGATTGATTGATTGATTGATTGATTGATTGATTGATTGATTGATTGATTGATTGATTGATTGATTGATTGTTCTAAGTTGTACTAAGAATATGCAGATTTATATTTGGTAATCTTTAAACAAATAAACAGGAAGGTAAGTAAGTAAAATAATGAATAAAAGTTATATATTGTACCGTGTTCTTGTATATAGTTTTAAATTATGTGTTGTTAAGGTTATTGAAATAATTAAGTACTCAAAACACACAGTTGTATTGAGAATGTTTGCAGTCTTCAAGGTAAAAGATTTGGTGAGTTTTTTAGAGTTAAATGACAAAAACAAACAAATGAATATTACTGATCTAGGCTCATGTTTATACTTTTTAATTTGTTTTAAAAATAACTAGGTCATTAAATTGACCATGTGTGCATTACAAAAGATCAAATGCATCGAAAAAAAAAAAACTATGCCTTAATTGATTATTTTACACATTTTTTTTTAAATAAAAACTATGTTCCTCAAAAAAGAAATAAAGACATTTGGATATTTACCTTCAACAGTGCATAACATAATTAAAAGATTCAAGGAATCTGTAGGATTTCAGTGCATAAAGGACAAGGATGCAAGCATTAAGAATTCATATAAGCAATATCAGCACATGGGCTCAGGACTTTTGCAAACCTTTGTCCAGTGTCGCAATATGTAGTGTCTCGACCTGGCTTAAAGGCAATGACAAATTAAAGAGAGGACACACACAGGATGGTTTGGTACCGAAAAATATTTATTTAAACATTAAAGAATAAACAAGTGCTCACTTTAGGTTAGCAAAAATCAAATGTTAACCAAGGCTAGAAAGAAACAAAGCAAAATAAACAGGAGCAAAAGCTCAACAAGCAAACACTGCTGGCTTTTTATAGAGGGGAAACCAGGTGTTCCCAATTGTGCAAATGAGTCTGTCTTTCCTGCTTCGGCCGATGAGTGGGTTGGTCTAAGAGACTTGTCACAGTAGCTACATCCACAAATGCCAGTGAAAACTGTACTGTGCCAAAAGGAAGCCCTATGTTAACAGTGTCCAGAATCGCTGTCGACTTCCCTGGGCTTAGAGGCATCTGAGATGGACTATCACACAGTGGAAATGTGTATTGTTTTCAGATAAATCAGTATGTCAGGTATTTTGGGAGAAATGGATGCTGTACGCCCTGAACCAAAGAAGAAAAGGATCATCCAGTCTGTTTCCAGCAACAAGTTCAAAAGCCAGGGTCTGTCATGATATTAAGTTGTGTCGGTGCCCTTAGCAAAGGTAGCTTGCACTTCGGTGATCGCACGATTAATGCTGAAATGTATATAGAGATTTTGGAGCACAATATGCTGCATACTTTTCTGGGGACACCCATGTATATTTCAACAAGACCATCCAAAACCACATTTTGCACACATTACAAAGTCCTGGCTGCAATGGAAGAGGATACAGGTACAACAACAAAAGACCCTGTACTGTTGCCCACATTAAGACTTGTTTGCAGGAGGAACGGGACAAAAGTTAGACCTGAAACACTTTTGATAATGAATGTCATTATTGCAAAGTGGTAAATGCTTTACTGTTACAATCTTTTTTGAAATGTGTTGCAAGGACAAAAACTGAAATACGTTTTTATTTTGAAAAAAAAAAAAATAAATAAATAAAACTACGAGGAACACTTTACATGATGTTTGTTGTAATAGATAGATAGATAGATAGATAGATAGATAGATAGATAGATAGATAGATAGATAGATAGATAGATAGATAGATAGATAGATAGATAGATAGATGATGGATGGATGGATGGATGGATGGATGGATGGATGGATGGATGGATAGATAGATAGATAGATAGATAGATAGATAGATAGATAGATAGATAGATAGATAGATAGATAGATAGATAGATAGATAGATAGATGATAGATAGATAGATAGATAGATAGATAGATAGATAGATAGATAGATAGATAGATAGATAGATAGATAGATAGATGATGGATGGATGGATGGATGGATGGATGGATGGATGGATAGATAGATAGATAGATAGATAGATAGATAGATAGATAGATAGATAGATAGATAGATAGATAGATAGATAGATAGATAGATGATAGATAGATAGATAGATAGATAGATAGATAGATAGATAGATAGATAGATAGATAGATAGATAGATAGATAGATAGATAGATAGATAGATAGATAGATAGATAGATAGATAGATAGATAGATAGATGATAGATAGATAGATTAATAAATAATGATTAAGAATAATTAAATTATAATAACATGTTGAATGAGACACTCCAGTTTCTGATAAAATAATTAAATCAAATTCAACTGTAGTTTTAAAGTGTGATTCAGAAGTTCAGAATATATGAATCCAGACGAGGGACTACTTTCTCTGCAGTTTGCAGCAGTGCTTCCAAAAGAGGAGTGAACTCAAGTCTGGCGGACGGACAAGTGTTTTCTCTGCGGTCTGATAGTCCTGTATGCTTTCACTGGGGCGGATGAATACCACGTGTGAGTGAGTGAGAGAGCGAGAGTGAGAGAGAGAATGTGTGTGTGGTGTGAGTGAGAGAGCGAGCTAGAGAGAGAGAGCCATAATGACTGTTACTACTCCTAGTGTAAATCAGTTTCTCGGCGCACAGAGCCACTAGCGCTCGCCAGAGGACGCATGCAGGGAATTTAAACCCCCTGTACTCAAAACACACCACAATATTCATTTAATCGCCGTAATTTAATAATGTGTCAACACCTCAGGCCATAGTTGCAGGAAGTTTGCGTGTTGTCGGTGGACATTTTTCGCACTTTTTTGCGGGACTATGGCGGTGGAGCTGCCGGGGAAGCGCTGCCTGTGCGCGAGCGGCTCTGGAGATCGTCTGCTGGAGCCCGCGGGGATCTCGCACTGGGGCTGGAGAGCCGGAGTCATCCGAGCGGCCGCTGCAGACTGCCCTGCGCTCACGGTAATACAAGAGAAAAGCTCATTATTTAGTTAGACACGCTTGTTTGTTTGTGTGTTCTCCAGTTTAAATAACTTCTACAAATAGCATTTGACATGTTTGCCAGAGCAAAGTTTGACGGAGCTGCTGATATGACAGCGAAAGTTGATTGTTTTGTTT